GGAATAAGAAATGTCTTGCGGTGGAGCATTTAGGTGGGTAAGTTAAGTTGACGATCAAGACCCGATAACTCTCCATCAGTCCAAATCGCAGACTCTTGTTGTCATGCGAAGAAAAGAATTCTAGCGTGACAATGCAATCAGGGAGTAGCCTCCAAATGAGACCAGTCATGGCCTAGAATTTGAATGGATGAATGGGCCAAAATTTTAGTCACCAAACAAGTTCACCTGACGTCCCTCAATTGTATGCCGAGTCTGACCGCAATTCAAGAAATATGTACCTCTAAACTATGTAAAACTGTTCAAAACATGTCCCAAGGCAATATAGATGTTTGGTTTCGCTGACATGGCTTCCTAGTCAGCAAAAAATAAAAAAAATAAATATGTGAGACCCACCTGTAAGTAAGAAGGAAAAATGTGAGGTCCACGTGTCAGCATCATCTTCTTCATTTTTCTTATCTTCTCTTTTGCCGCCGATGGCAGATGGGGAGAGGCGGCCACCGTCGACTCCACGCTGCTTGGCCACGTCAACGGTGGCGGCGACCAACCCCTGCACCCTAGGCCCCGGCGTGCTGCTCAGCCTCGCGCTCCGAACCACCCGACCCAGCCATGGATGAGAGGGAGATGGCGGCGAGGAGAGCACCAAGCCTAGCTCGTCGTGCCATGGGTGGCGTGCGGCATTGCGGGGGATGGGGTTCAAGGACGACGACGATGTGGACGATGCGGTCGGCGAAGTCGTGGACGATGGCGATGGATTCGCACGGCCGCCGCTCGGACCCCAGGCTGAGTGCCTTCTTCACCTTCGAGAACCCGAGATGGCATACCAGAACCGCCATGCGGAATGTGTTGGTGAAACTGCCGCTGGCAATGGAGCCGTCGTCGACCTCCGCGCGAGCGTCGTCGTCACCGCCGTCCCCACGCCCTCGGGAGTGGCGGCGAATAAGGGGACAGGCGCCGCCGACGAGCAGATCTAGCCGCCCTCGCCCTCGACAGCAGCAGAGGCGGAGATGAAGGCGGTGGGCGAGAGCAGCGGCCTCTTCTTTCCCCCTCTCCCACCAGCCTCATCTCGCCCCCTCTCTGGCTGGCACCAGTTGCTGCCGCCGCCGCCTCTCATCCTTTTGCCGTTGACGGGTGAAGAAGATAAGAGAAGACAAAACAAAAAAAAGGAAAAGAGAGAGGAGGAAAAAAAGAGATGTTAACTAGGATGTGCGCCCCCACATACTTTTTTATTTTTATTTTTGATTACTAGAATGTCACGTTAGTGAAACCGGGCATCTATATTGCCTTGGGAATTTTTTTAGACGGTTTTACATAGTTTAGGGTATACATTTCTGGTATTGCAGTTAGGACCTTAAATAGACTCGGCGTACAATTGAGGGACGTCAGGTGAACTTATTCCATGAGACGTACAAGCCTTAGTAGCATTATAGTTCTTGCCAGAGTCATTTGGGCTTGGAAGTTGTATTCACCTAGTAGGCTATTACGTCCTTCAACTATAAGCTTTCAACGAGTTTTTTTTCCTTAACTTTGAAAACCAGATCAAATTAGATGAATACCCCGCCGTTTTGCTATAGGAAATTAAGTTACATAATATATACAGATAGGATACAATATGATTATTAAAACCAAAACAAATTGATACTTATAAATTTTAAGCCTATAAATAATTAAGATTGTATGGTGCTTTGAGAGAAAAAAGAAGAAACAATTTCAACCATACATCTATAATCTAATGGCTAGAAATAATTAGTGTGATATGACTTAATGAGAAAAGAGAGAAATAGCTTAACGGGGGGATGAACTATATAAGTATAAGTATAAATGATACCTCCTCGGCTTAATTGCCGTCGAGAGTGGGAGGTGCTAATGGACGGGTGGTTGCTGTGAGCGATCACCCGTCCCTCCCCTAAGACGGCTCCCCTCCCCCTTCCACATCCCCTTCTTCTCTTTCTACTACGCCATAATTTTTTTAAAAAAAATTAAAAAAAAAGTTAGAAAATTTTATGTATAGAAATACTATATAAAAAATATTTGAATTCAAATTAAAATTTAAATCAGGTATATAAACTTTTGACTTATAAACTTTGGGTGTATAAACTTTATATGTATAGAAATACTATATTAAAAAATATTTGAATTTAAATTTAAATTTAAATTTGAATTAGATATATAAACTTTTGACTTATAAACTGTGGGTCTCTAAACTTTAGGTGTATAAGCTTTAGATGTATAGAAATAGTATATATAAAATATATTTGAATTCAAATTCAAATTTGAATCGGATATATAAATTTTTGACTTATAAACTTTGGATCTCTAAATTTTAGATGTGTAAACTTAAGGTGTACAAACTTTAGGTGCATAAATTTACTAAAATAGAAAAGTGATACGGTGCTAAAAAAAAAGAAAATCATCTGGGGAGAGGGACTGATCGCTCCTAGCGACCGATCGCTCCTTATGACTTTCGGTCGAGAGTCGTAGTCTCGTAGAGTCGAGAGGATGGAGCGAGACGGCCGAGGAGGTCCGGTGATTGGCCCAGTGCCGACTTTACGGCCCAATAATTACATAGCCCAAGTGGACTATTTTGGGGGTTGGAGATTTGTCCGCCGACCCCTCCACCGTACTCCATACACGGTGCCCTCGCTTATTCCCGAAGAACAACTACCACGAAACCACGCACTGTGCGGCGACGCCATTGCAAGATTGTGAAAACTGAAAACCACATTTCTTCTGGCGTCTCTCCTTGATCTGGAAACTGATGATTCAGACATCTTGGACGCATAAGGTGAGTGACTGAGTGCAGAATATTTTTGTCCTGGCATTGTTTGGCTTTATGCTTACCCCGTCAGGAGAACGGCCTATGTGCAAATCATGTTGAGAGATTAGCCCAAGAATTTTGCGTCAGAGCTGTGTAATTCTTGAATCTTGATTTCATAAGCACTTCGCAGAAATTGAGATTAGTCCCAAGAAATTAAGATGGATCGGAAGTTCTTTCTTTGGTAAGGAAAAAAAAAAAGAACGAACATCTTCCGATCTGTTCTCCGTTGTTACTTGTTTTGATTTGGTTTTCGATGGAGAGGATGAAGATAGTCGGCTAGGAGGGCCGGTGATTGGCGCAGTTCTGACTAAACGGGCCAATAACTGCATAGCCCAACTGTCACATCGGGGGTCGGAGATTTATTCCCCGAAACCCCCAGCAGGTTGGAGATTCATCTTCCGAACCCGCTCCGCCGTTACGGTGCCCCTCCTACTACCTCACAAGTCACAACTCCGATGAACCACGCGTACGTGTTCCTCCTTGGTCCCCGACGTTATTTGCGAGATCATCGTGAAACCTTCAATTCTTCCGGCGTTTCTCCTTGATCTGGAAACTGGACGGTTCATTCAATCATCGTGAAACCCTCATTTCTTCCGGCATTTCTCCTTTTTTTAATACGCAAGGAGCGCATTTTTTCCATTAAGAGAAATAAAAGTTATTTACAAGGATAAAAGGAAAACAAGCAGGGGACCGATACAGAACGCTATGGAAAACTATAAAAATATCTCGCGTTAAATTTGACTACCACGACCTCGTAAAGGCCAAACAGCGGGGACCCCGTGATTAGCTGACTTCCAAAGCATGGCCTCCTCCGCCATTGCTTTCGCCACTTCGGTCCAAGACCTTTGTTGTTGATTGAAGATTCGGTTGTTCCGTTCCTTCCAAATTGTCCAAGCCACCAATGTCACGACAGTGTTGAAGCCTCGACGATACCGCGCCCCAATTTTCATTCGGCTATCACAGAGCCAATTGTGGAAGGATGGCTCGTTGACAGGTAAGCAGTTCGGACTCCTTATCGCCTGAAGCGTTCACCACCATAATTGTCTCGATTCAGGGCATGCTACTAAGATGTGATCAATGCTTTCGTCCTGTTGATCGCAAAGAACACAACGATCCGGGTGTGGCAACCCTCGACTGCGCAGACGGTCAGCGGTCCAGCATCTGTTCATTGTAACCAACCACAAGAAGAAGCGGCATCGAGGCGGAGCGAGTGACTTCCAAATTGGGGTGGAAAGGAAGGTGACTATAGGCGGATTTTGAGCTGTATTGGCCCGAACTCTCTCATTTCCAGATGATTGAACCAGGAGTAGTAGGATCAAGATCCACCATTTGGACAAGCGACCAAAGCTGTAGATATTCTAGAATAGGTTGGATCCCAAGTGCTCCTCGGATGTCTTTGATCCATTGGCGACCTGTTAGTGCCTCAGCCACCGTCCGACGCCGGCGCACGCGTGGTGGAATTTTATCATAGATGTTCGGAGCAATGGACCGAATGCAACCCTCTTGCAACCAGCTATCTTCCCAGAAGAGAATAGTTTGTCCGTCTCTTAATTGACAGACGGTAGAGGATGCAACGAAGTTCCTTTCTTTTTGCGACCCCGGAATAGCTAGCCCCTGCCAAGGTTTGCTTGAGGAGGTCCGTTGCAACCATGTCCACCTGGAACGAAGAGCTATACCCATAAGCTCCAGATTCGGTACACCCAAACCGCCGTAGTTTTTAGGGGCGCAAACTTTGGACCAAGCAACCCTGCAACACCCTCCATTAGCTTGCGCTTTACCTGCCCAAAGGAACCCGCGACGGATCTTGTCGATGCCCTTGACCACCCACTTGGGTGCATCAATCACAACCAGCAGATAGATCGGGATAGCGCTGAGAACAGCGTTAACCATAGTAGCACGACCAATTGAAGACATTTGGTTGGACTTCCAAGTGCCGGCATTTCTCCTTGATCGGGAAACTGGACGTACGATTGATTCATACATCTTGGAAGACATCTGTACTAGGTGAGTGCTGCAGATTTGTCCTGGAATTGTTTGTCTGTATAATTCTGGATTTCATAAGCACTTTGCAGAAATTGAGATTAGTCCCTACAAATTAAGATGGATCAGAAGTTCTTTCTTTGGCAGGCAAAAAGGAACGAACATCTTCCGATCCGTTCTCCAGCAGTGCAACTTGACACCTGACTAACCACTGTTACATGTTTTGATCTGACTAAAACTTACATGATGGAACGATCCATATCATGAAGAGAGAAAAGGGGGTTGTATTTAGTCGCAGTACACAAGAACATGACCACAAGGTTTAGCAAAATGTTAAACCTCCCTGTACGTGTGTCACGCTAATTAACTCCCCTAAAAAAAGGTACATTGATAGCGCTAATGATCAGTGGCGAGAGAAAAAAAACAAAAGTTTTGTGCCTGCGTACGTATGCATATGCCTCCCTTGATTATTTATCTTCGAACGAGGTGGTTCGTTATTGATTAATAATTTCTATCGTAGTTTCTTCTTCTACAGTAGTAGTTCAGTTCATGAGTTGTCCCATCAGCGGCGACGACGACGACAAGATGGCGTCGAGCGCCTCCTTCACCTGGGATATCTCCGGCGCCTTCCCTCCCTGCGCCGGCCAGAACTCGTCCGTCGCAAGAACCTGCAGTTCATCGTCAGAAACACAGTTAATTAGAACCTCCAAATTCTAATTCTAACCGCGTAATCGCGTGCACATTGCGAGAGATGTGTGCATACCTTGACTTGAAGCTGGAGGAACTTGACGTAGCTGATGGCCTTCTCGAGCATGGTGACGAGGTCGACCTTGGTGCCGTTGGGCACGAGCTCCTGCAGGATCCGCAGCCGCTCGCTGATCCTCTCGCGCCGATTCTGCCGCCGGCAAGAACAATTCGAGTTCAGTTCGGTACATGGATTGGTCGGAGTAGCAGTAGGATTTTGGCGCGGAATTCAGTAAAAGTTTAATTACCTTGGCCGCGAGGCTTTGCGGGTCCTTGGTTGGGGTGGTCGGCGCCGACTTGGCCTTGCCCGCCTTCCTGCCGGCGCCGCACTGCTTCTTGCTAGGGCTCATGGCCTGCGACGACTCCGCGTGGGCCCGCTTCTGCGAGCCGCGGGGCGCCGGCGCCGGCGCGGCGCGTTCGGGGGAGACGCCGCCGCCCGACGTGCTCGGGAACAGCAGCCCGAACTGCCGCCCACCCGCGCCGCCGCCGCCGCCGGTGGCTCTCTCCGTCAGGCTGAAGCAGCCGGTGGCCGCGTCGAAGGCGACGGCCGTCGTCGACCGGTACGGCGCCGCCTCGCCGCCGGCGCCGTAGCTCTGGTCCATGGCTTCGATCCACGCGTCGCACTCGGCCTCCTCCGCCTGAGCGGCGCGGTCGAACGCCAGCACCGAGGACGACGCGCCCGCGCCCGCCCACCCCGCGGCGCCGTCCTGCACGAGGGCGCACCCGGCGCTGGCGGCCGCCTCGTACCCCCCGAACAGCGCCGCCGCGTCGATGTCGAGCAGCGCGTCGTGGCCGTACCCCATCTGGGACGACTCGAACCCGCCGCCGAACGCCTCGGCGTCGCACCCTCCACCGTACACCATCGCGCGCTCCCGCACCAGCGCCATGCGCATGCACACTAGTACACTACCAACAAATACGATCACTGCACCCTTCGTCGCCTCGGCAACGTACACGCGCTCCTCCGTCGTCGATCAGTCACACGCACACCCTTCTCCTCGGCGGCGCGGCGTGTGGTGGTGCAGTCTGCAGTGTGGTGTAGTGGGCGGCACGGGTGGGTTTGTATATATACACGCGCGCGGCCGCGGCAGTCGGGCACATGGGGAGCTCGGGCTAAACAAACAACTCAAGCGTGGAGGCGCGAGTGCACGCGGGCGCATTAAATGCTGGAGGTGGGCTCGCTGATCGCGGCTGCCGACGCCGTGTTCCCGGAGCCATTCGCCGTGCCGCTCACACGCACGCGGGCGCGCGTCGGGGTGGGAGGATGACGGCGTGCGCTACAGCTAACGGGAGCGTGGAGCGCGGCGGAGCGAGCGGGGGAGTCCCACGTCTCAAGATTCCCGACTCGTCTCCATGTCACGTGGCCCATGCCATGCAAGCAGCTGGCTGCGGCTGCGGCTCGCTCTCGCCGCTTTGCCGGGCCGGCCGCAATACGACCGGCATATTGTGCAAGCCCGCACGCACGCACGCACGCTGGGGTTGCGGGGTGAGATGAGAGGTACTAGACCGGTGGGGAGATGAGATGGGATCGGTGACTGTTTTTTTTTTCTCTTTTGCTGTGCCTCCGCTCAACTTACTGTATTCTGGCCGTCAATCAATCATGCATGTCAGTGACACTAAACAGGGTGCGAGGTGATCGATCGCGTAATTTATTGGGTCAGGTTAGCCTGGCTGGAATTTTCTACATACCCTAAGCTATTAGATGTGTGCATGCTTAGCTACACCTGATTTATTGCACCGTGCCAACACACGACCTAATTTTCTATAAAATGCTACTACGTGTGTGTAACTCCAAGTTGATAGCGGTACATGTTTCTTTAGAATGTTTATGGGTATTTTAGTTATTAACGTTGTTCGGCTGTCATTTACAGCACCTAAGCCAGTTTTCTTGTTCTAGGATATAAGTAGTTGCATTGGTTGCGATACTGTCAATAGCAGCGGAGCAGCCTCATTAAGTTACCTACGCTAACTAATTTAACACAAAAGCTTAAAGTGTTGAGAAAAGGTTTAGACTAGAGATCTTTAGCTCTATTATCGAAAGTCACATGCATCGATCACTGTCTTCAAGCAATTTGTTTACACTCCAACACTAAGTAACTAGGAAATGTTTTCTTTTACCCGATTTGTATGTTTAGTGCGAATTCTCAGTTCTGTCGTGCTGAATTGATCATCTGACTTGGGATTTAACCGAGTATAATCAAGGAGCCGTGATCGATCTGAACTCCCTACAGTTGGCACCTTCCGATCGTAATCTCAGCCGTCGATTCTTAATCCGACGGCCATCGACCCTCACATCCAGCGACGTTCGTGCACCGTGGAGTACAGATCGAGCAGGGAATGTTATTGGCATATCTTAAGCAGGATCCTGATGACGTCCCACACACAGCAAGGAGGAGGGACAAGATGCTTCGGATTCCGTTAATACCTGTCATTGCTGCTCGCTAATCAAGCGCCCTGGAGTGTAATTATATTCTCTGCTGCTGTTGCCCTGCCTGTACTTAGCTAAGCTTGTCCCTGACATGATTAAGAAACTCGCTGCTGTCCCCCCAGCTTGCCTTAGTTTTTCTTTTATTACATGTACACGAGTCTGTGATTAATGCACTTGTGTTGTGACGACTATAATTAATAAACTTGATATTAGCAGTAGTAATTTCTCTCCACACATCCATGGTTGCTTGGTCATTAATGCCGTTGATTAGCATGCTGCTTGCATCGATCCTCTGCCACAGTTTCAGCGAGGAAAAAGTATAGTAGCAAGTTGGTGATCAAGTAGCGAGTCAAGGATGTCTATCTCGTTTCTACGTGCATGCACGTCTACGTGTCGATCGGTTACTACAGTGGACACATCGATCGGTTTAATTTTGATCAAGCTGATCGATATGATTCACGCGGATTAATTCAGCTAGATATATAGCCCATGCACACGTCGGTCTCCATCATCCGATTCCGTGCTGGGTTTAATTCGCATTGATGTCGCAGAATCAAGCACCACATGCCCCTCCTTAATTTGCCATATTTACAGGCTTCTCAATCGTGTGCAATTCGTGTGGTTCCTATATAGCGACCACTAGATCGATCAAAAAAATCCAGGAAAAGAAATTAAGTAAAAACCTCGTGCATGCGTGATGCATTAGCTAGCTATCTGAGTATATCTACTCTTGATATGACGATCATCAGTGATTCTGAATTTCTGATGATGAACCTCTGTTACTCTGTTAGTACTTACTTGGGGCTTGGTGATCAGTAATTCTGATGATGAACCTCTGTTACTCTGTTAGCACTGGCCTGCACCCTACAGGGAGAGGTCAAAGTCTGGAGTTTTGAGTTGTAAATGATGACTTTTACGGCGATGAAGCGTGTGGGATGGAGTAGTAATAATCTGGAGGTCAACTTGGCAAAATCCCATCGCTGATGTGGGAGGATTAGGGGCAATTAATGGCGTTCGTGTTCCTCAATTGATCCCGGCATGTGGAGCTCATTAAATGACGGCGACCAATCTGGCTGGCCAACTAACCCTGCTCCTCCTCCGATTCCCCCTTACCTCTTCGCGTAATCCTACCGGTTAATCCCAGCATCAATCAAGATCGAGCAACTGATCCGATTAGGTTATCTACTCTTTTCCATGCGTCTTGCCATCTCGGCAACTCCTCTCGGATTCTCGCATCGAATGCTTCTGCAGGCTTCAGCAGCAGATGGAGATCGATCGATCAAGCCGGCGACGAACCGACCACCATCTGACAGTGAGTTCGTTCGCGCTAGCTAGCTGGGAGCACGCGTGCGTCGCTGACATTTCGCGGGATTTTATTCAGACCCACGCGTGCGCGTGCGCGATGGCCATCCGATCCGAAAGAGGGGAAAAAAGTATATTTTTACTGGCTACTCTACTGCTACGAAGAACTCATTCCTTAAAAAAAATAATCTAGAAGGATATGTGACCCCTCCTAATATAACGAGATTCGTTATATCTTTTTAGGACGGAGGGAGTAATCATGTTTGATGCTGTGTTGAGTTGATCTGTAATTGCTGTGCTCGGTATGAGACAGTTGTTATTTGTTAAGGGTTTCAGTTGAGCTAAGGAAAGACAGGAGGCAAAGTGTTAGGTTAGCTAGTGGCTATCTATTCTTGTGTGCTATGAATGATAGAATGATTTATGATAATTATTTTATAGTCAAACGAATGAATTAAACAGTGTAAAGTTGAAAATTAATTTAAAACCGTTTATATAAGAAATTTGTATATTATAAAGTTTTTATATGATTTGCACCATTTAGAGGCTCGGAAAATATTATTTTTATTATTCCATTTCATTACAGGAAAAACAACACACCTCTACCTCAATTTTTAATATATGGTGCATTGATTTTTCCTTCTGAAAGTTTGATCAACAATGTTTATTCAGTTACTTAGTTAAGTGAAATGAAAATAATACAACTAGATCTATTATATATCAAAAGCATTTTAAACATACCTATAGTATATTTGTCTATTTGCACAAATATTTGTCAAGTGAATTAAGCAAGTACTAGTACCTTTTGCACAATAATATTCATATACTAGTACTTGCTTAATAATTTCTGTCTTAATTATTGTATTGTTGGGGAAAAGTTCGATCGTAACATGCCGGATATGTGATATTGTACTTGCGATAAGATTTACAATTAGTAAGTTGAGAGTAGAGTGGGTAGTTCATTACCCGAATTGGCGCCTAGTGAGAGTATTCCAATCACGATTATGTACTTGTGATAAGATTTATAATTAGTACGTTGCCATAGTTGGATATCTATATATGTATGGAGTACTCCTAGTTCATTGCCGAAATTAATAAAAGTGTACGTATACATATGCACCTATTCAAAGTATTTCAAGTACTCGACTTGTCCTCTACATACCAAGCTGTCTGGAGTATCTCCGCTGCTTCGCCTGTACAATAATTGTCGTTTATTATGAGTATATTAACTAATTATGATTACAACGTACTCGTACATGCACGGCGTACGTGAAACATTTACTTCAATAATTATTTTTACTGGTGTAACTTCCTCTTTTACATTGTTTGGTTCTGTGACTCTAATCATATATACTCCATTCAAATCCATCTCTCTCGGCGTGAATACCGTCAAATGTGTACTCTGCTTTGAATTGGATTTAAGTATAATCAGGAGAAATTTAAAATTGTAAAGTTTGATTCTCATGAATAATGTTAGGCAGATTTTTACTTGTTTTAATTAGTTCTCAAATTCAAAATCAACTTAAAATTAGGTCAACCACACAGGCAAGGTAACTCAACATAGCATGGCTACAATAATGATAGGCCATCGAACTAAATATGCTATTCTTCTTATGTGCAAGACTTTTATGAGTTAAAAAAAACTAAATATTCACACACATGCACACAAAAAAAAATACCTTTACTCATAGCATATCTATAATTTCTTATTTTCGATAAATATCTGATAATAAGAAACTCGTATATTTGGGGTCATGTTTAAGTGTTGCATCTCTGCAAGGAAGATATCAGTTAAATTAAAGAGAGATTTTTATATATGTTCGAACCCTTCTTAGAGTAATAAGTATACATCTTGTCAGTCGGGTTATCGGTTTTATTAATACCAAAAGAGTATGGTTACAAGGATATATATGGACCTAGTCAAGGTTTATATGCTAGTCTTGTTGGGGATTCCAACGAGTTTTTATTGATCAGTGGGTGCACCGGCTCGATGGATCTTGAGGCTTGATCTCTGACTCAACGACATATCGACTTGCGGTGGCATATGATTGTTGTGTCTTGGCTTGCAGAGTATAGATAGTTGGATACCAGATACCCATATGGCCTGCATATCGACTAAGATAGAAGGTAGGCCGGATCCATATGATATGAGATGGAATAACATCTGTTTGCCATATTGCCTTGTATCCTAAAATAGCGTACAGAGAATCCCAACCGAACAATGCTATGGATAGATAAGGTAACCGAAGGCGTGTTCGGCTAGGTTTCCTAACTTGTAACACTACCCCCTAACATATATAAGACATGCAGGGATCCCCTCGAGGGCAACAGAGAATAAGAAACACCAAATCGACACAATATCAATACATCAGGCATAATACAATCCATCAAAATAGGAGTAGGATATTACCTCACATCGAGAGCCTAAAGCTATATAAACCCATGTCTTCTGCATCCATCCACTTTTAGATCTTGTGCGTAGCCCCTAAA